AACAACAACAACAACAACAACAACAACAACAACAACAACAACAACTGCAGCAACAGCAACAACAACAACAGCAACAGCAGCAACAACAACAGCGTCAACAGCACCAACAACAATTACAACAGCAACAACAACGTCAAGTAGCGGGTAATGCTGCAGCTGCGATACCGCCAATTTTTTCCGCAGAAGAAATGAGCAAGGTTAACATAATTTTTTTTTTTTAAATTTAGAAATAAAAAATCCAAGTAATAATTTTTTTTTCGAAATTAAAATAAAACTAACCATAATATTATATTACTTCTTTCAGGAAAAGAAAAAGTGATTTTTTGAAATATTTTGAATGTTTTTTGTTTCTCGAAAAAAAAAAAATCTAATTTAGTAATTCGTACATTCCTTTAGAGAGGAAACATTATGAATGTTAAAAATTGAAAATATATTTCTAAAATATAATTTTTATCGAAAATTTTTCCATTTTATTTATTAAAATATTATAGGTTGCACAAGTATTAGCTGTACAACAGCAACAACGTGCTCTTGCTGCAGCAGCTGCAGCACATCATGGCGCAGCTACACATGCAGTTGTAGCAAATCCACTATTGCAAGCAAGTGCATTGCAAAATTTTGCGCAAAATTTAATGGCTAATGGTGTAAACAATCAACAACCAACTGGTCAAACATTCTTCTGCATTTTCTGCATGAAGCATTTCAATACGCAAGCTTCATTCACCCTACATCTCAGCTTTGTTCATTTTCGCAATAATGTTGTCAATGTGAGCATGCAAAATTGTTTTCAAGAACATTTCGATAAAGAGGTAATCCTTTCATTTTTCTCTCTCTCTTCCTTTTTTTTTTTTTTTTGTTTACTTCTTGATTTTGTTTATTTCTTCTGCATCGATGATAACATTAGCTTACACTTTTCATCAATGATTTGTTTATTTATCTTTTCCTTTTCTTACCCTTCTTTTCATCCTTTTTGTCCATTTTTCATAAATGTTGGATTACCGCTTGTTGTTTTATTAATTATCTTCAATAACATATAACCAATCTATTGGTTCATAGTTTAAGAGTTAACAAATTTTTTTTCACATACATAAATCATTTTGCATCTTATTATATATTTGAAATTT